TCATGTTAGGGTACACATACTGCACCAGAAGCTGTTGGTTAGCCAAAGAATCCCGTTGAAGATGATGAGATACTTCAGACGTGCAGGACTACGGTGAAATAAGCAACTTTCTGCGTGATGGAAAGATAGACGGTCGGGGAGATAGAACATGAGGTGGCGGGAGTCATGGGTCGGACGTGTGGCGATGCAACGGAGTCGTTCATACCACTCAAGAAAAAGGCGGACGAGATAAGTAAACTCCTGGTTCAAGTGACTCCTGGTTCAATGTTGGGGAGCTTAGGCAAGGAACAAAACGTCAAGAAAAGATACAGAGAACTTGGAACAGGATGACGTAGAAGCACCAAAGAGAACCGGAAATGCACCCCCGAATTAGGAGAGAAGCTAAGAGGCTATTTGAAAATTGCATTATTGCAAAAGCTAACTGCCAACCAAAGCTGTTCTATAGTCAAATAAGGAGAACAAAATAAGAGACCATATATTTAGATTGAGGAGACAAAGGGAAATTCTCACAGAAAATGATAACGAGATGTTTGAAAACTCAACATAAGATTTCCAGGAGGTCTTTACCTCCTGGAAATCGAACGTGGAGACCAAGGTTGTGAGACAAAAGGCCAGAAGAAATAATGGACGACATTGTAGTTACTGTAGATGAGGTAAAAAAAACACAAGGAGGGACTAGCTATGACAAAATCAATGGCATCAGAATTGACCTCACCTTGGCGGCTGAAGGAGGCTGCAGAAACACTCAATATTTACAAATGAGGACTCTAAACACAGACTAGGACTGCGGAAATTGATAGGAGGACCTTGGTCTCCAGGACTGGTTATCTAAATGGCTGTTGCAGTTGAATCCCAACATGTGTAATGTAATGAAGATGGGAAAGAGGGAAAGAACCCAGGAGGCATCTACACCAAAAATGGAGAAGGCAGCTACAGGACTCAGAAAGATAGTAAGGCTGGCCAGTGTATATTCATTCGTCCCTAACACCGGAGGCAGACATACACAGGATATAGGAAGACCTATAGTCTTCCTCCTCCTTCTCCTCTTCCTCTTCCTCCTCCTCCTCCCCCCCCCCCCCCCCCGCTGCAACAGGCTGTACAAGTGACGTCACGCGTCCATGCGTTCGCGTGGCACTGAGCTGATGCAGCATTGATCCCTCTTGCCTAGTTATTACAAGCGACTCTCAACCCTCAGCTGCCTTCACACAGGGGTGAATACCTCTAGATGTGTGTGTGTGTGTGTTCTCTCCTAGCCCCCACCGCTGATGTTTTAACATGCTGGAAGATAGAGACATAGTGGTGATAGTAGCCACCATAGACAGGACCACTGCACTACGGAGCCCCTGATGGGTGAATACACACACACACACACAGACGTCGAAGCTTGGGGTAATAGGTTGAGACAACACATTACAACCTTGGGTTGACTCGTCCTGCCCTACCGGGACCCCCTTTTAGGTCGCTATTTGGTGAACAGATGTATTAGATGGAAGGAAACGTGCCAATCTTTTTCTCCTTCCGCCCGGAAATCGAACCCGAAATTCCCGATTGTGAGTCGAGGATGAATCCACCTGTAGTACGAGACTCTGCGTTGATTAGTACTGAACAAAGCTCAACAATTAAGTAAACTTTCAGTGTTTATATACTGAGAAGTGGAGTATACCTCTAGGTATATATGGTATACTGATATGCCATTATCGGGAGCAGACGTTCTGAAGAGTGTAATCTTTTTCAGATTTTCCAAGTCAAAAACCAGACTGCTCCCGCGGTCACCCATCCTATCACTGGCCAGAAACAGGGGCGGGTTTACCTAACTGACCGAGTAGCGCACAAATCATTAATTATTGCTTAATTATTATTATTCTGTTACTGTAGCTTTTCATGTTTAGTTTTTTATGCGAACATCATGGTTTTTTATAGTTACCCATGGAGTACGACCAATAGAAAACTTATGTAGATTGTAACTGTTTTAAGAAAATTAAAATTATTTTATGTATAACTTATGAAAACATGTAATCGTTTTCACTGGCAGTAAAAATATGTAATCTTGCAATATGTATTATTGCTCTTGCTTACATATTTCAAGACCTCTTGCAAAATTACACAAACATTTCAATTTATTTATTTCTTTAAATGAATTTGGCCCATTTTCTAAAATATGTGATTTTTTTGCTCTCAATAACACAATTTAATTGTACATTTATAGCCCCCATATATGTACGTCAGTTTTTCCCCCATGTATAAGGACATCCCAACAGGAGTATACACACCGCGAGGCGTACCCGCCCTTCACGGAGCATATACACCCAGAGTTTATTCTAGTTTTGGACTAGATTAAGGACCGAAATATCATTCCTGGTTAGACGGAGAGTACTTATGTGGCCCTAATAACCCTCCAGAGAATCAACAATATATTATTCCGGTAGAAAACTACGATAATGCTACACACAGACCGTCATATGGTTGACAATGTATTCACCTAGTTGTGTTTGCGGGTGTTGAGCTTTGCTCTTTCGGCCCGCCTCTCAACTGTCAATCAACTGTTTACTACCTACTTATACAAGAGTTCTCACATTCTTGTACAGCCACTAGCACGCATATAGCATTTCGGCCAGGTCCTTAATACTAATATTCCCCGGAATACGACCCGCCAAATCGTTTAACAACCAGGTATCCATTCACTGCTGGTTAAACAGAGGCTACAGTTAAGGATTGGCGCCCAGTAAATTATCCCCGGCCAGGATACGAACCCAGGCCAAAGCGCTCGCGAAACGCCAGGAGAGTGTTTTACCACTTCGCCACGGGGTTGTACTCTCTCTCACGAGGATAAAGAAGGCAATTTCATACACAGTAAACACAAGACAGACAGACAGGCTTGGAGGCGTCGCACCGCAAGCCAAGAGATGCCAATTGATTGGCAAAAATGCCAATTAATGCCAATTAATGCCAATAATTGGCAAAATAATTCTTCCGGATAAGGGTCCACGCCGGTCCGGACCCCAAACACACACCCAACCAACGTAGGACAAATTCTCCTATTTTGAACAGAGGGAGGCCTGAGTGTACAGGCACACTAGGCCGACTGACCTTCTTAGACGAGCCTATGCCTGATCGGGGTCTGGATGAAAGATGTCTCCATAAACAGCAAGTATACTCACCACGTCCAACTCTGTAGAAGCACTACGTCCAACGCAGTATACACACTAAGTCCAGCTCAGTGTGTCAGGTGTAAAGAACACGTCAAAAGGCCGCACAAAAGACATCAAGTGTGGCAGGTGTTGAGGAGCCCATTACACACTACACACACACTACACACATACTCAAATGCTAAACTGTGAGTGGCGACCATAACATCAAATCCAAATAATACCCTTCCAGGATAGCAGTAAAAAAAAAAACACCAATAGGACTTTCTCCCACACCAACATGCAATGCGGTAGTACACTGAAACCACACAGTACAGTCATTAACCAACCACCACCAAATCACCCAACAAACTACAGATCTAACACATTACCCCCTTCCTCCCTGCCCCTAACCCCTCCTTCACCCTCTGGCAATACTGCACTACCACACAATTCTCAAAACTCATAATTGACATTGAAAATGCAATTAAAAAAAAAAACACTAGACAGACTCCTTAATCATTTCTTAACACAACTAATCCAACCGTCCCCTGTGATTGGCTCAGCGAACACCTCACCCCACGCCTACAGCAAGTCAAATCCAAATAAACAGATCTGCCAGTGGCATAGACATACACAACAAACATTACGGGATCACTATAGCCCGTGCTACATAGACATTCCGTTCTGAGTAGTTTAATCTAAAATAACAACAGCAACAGGCATAGACATGGGAATGGAACTGATGCTGGTTATAGCATCACATGTCGCATGACTAACTCACAATCGGCGATCCCGGGTTCGATTCCCGGGTGGAATTGAAATGGTTGGACACGTTTCCTTTAGCCAAATGCCCCTGTTCACCTAGTAGCAAATAGGTACCCAGCAGTTATAAGCAACCATTGTGGGGTTGCATGCTGGGGGGTAGATAGGTCACTAGGTCGACCTTGAAGGGGGGGATAGGACTTAAATAGTGTCTGGGTACAAGTGACAAGATGAACAACCCAGCGGGTTTTCTTCCTATTGGGGAGTGTTGTACATGCTGCTATGGCGGTGTGTCCACTCACAGGATGAGTGGCGCTGCCCAATAAACTCGCCCCTCGGGGCAAAATTTAAACATTTAGATACACACCTTTCTGTCCCGGACTAAACTCATTATTATAGAAATATCCCCTGTTAAATTACCATGGTACTTATGAGACATATCGAGTTATACTGTCAATCTGCAACTGAATTAATTAAAGTGAAGATAAACACTCGTAAATTAGGTGAATTAACTCGTGATTTTTTTCCCCTAATTACGTCTGTGGATTAAACTATATTATTATACATTTATAGTTTATTATTAATTATACATTTAGATATTTTACTTACGGGAAGGTTATTGTGTTTCCGTGAGTTCACTCTTCAAGCAATCCCGTACGCAAACGATAAGTATATTGTCTGTTTATCTTGAGTATGATCTTTTCGTACACGAGTCCATCAATTGGAACACAGTTGGCACACACGCAAGGTGCTATAACACCGCTAGATCATGTGACCAACAGGTCAAAACACTTAAATGAAAGCAAAAAGGGCCAGGAAATCTCATATATGTATATACACTGCACATTTTATTAAACAACAGTTTTATAAGCCACACCAAAATATATATAATGCATTTATGTATCGTATGTGTACACGCGAATTGCTTTTTTTTACAAATGTAGTATTTGTCTTAGGGAACACTAGGCTTATATTCAATTGAAAATACATGGCGGTGACAATGATCCGAGCCTATTCAAGCCTATTCAATTAATAACTTTCCCTCCCATCCAAATACATATTTACTGTACCTAACTATATATATATATATATATATATATATATATATATATATATATATAGTACACAGTTATGACACTGATAACAGTTATTACACATCTGACTTAAAATAATTGTTGTAATATTATCTGCTAAAATATATATATATATACACAGATATTACGGACTCTGAACAGGATAGAATGAAAAATATTTCATCTGCACCGGATGTGTTTGTGTGTTTGAGTGTGTGTGTTTATTTGAAGGTTTTATGTGCTCGACTGGAAGTTGACCTGCTCGACTGGAAGTTGACCTGCTCGACTGGAAGTTGACCTGCTCGACTGGAAGTTGACCTGCTCGACTGGAAGTTGACCTGCCACATTAACTCGGGTGAATCAAAACAAAAAAGTCAAGGGATGTCAATCGTCATTCTAAGTTTTAATCCTGATATGAAAAAAACGAAGAGCGAAGAGGGAGAGGGAAATTATCAGGGGGGAAAGCGCCGAGCCATTACGACCGAGCAGAGAGCTTGATCTATCGGCCTGCACGGAGCCTGTTGCAGACAATGTTCCACCTGCCACACAAGGCAATAGTTTAGACACGAGTCTGTCGTACTAGAGTTCTTTGTTAAAGTGGATAGAAATGGTATTCAAGTAAATTGATAAGGTAGAGAAAACACTTCCTCCCAGGTAGTTCAACAGGTGCGCTACGGAAGCTGGTGTCCGCGCGCCGCACCGCGACGACGCGCGCAGCACCGCGACGACGCGCGCTCTCCGCGAGACAACACGCTGGCCATGAAGCGCGGAGTGGTGGTTGTAATTGATATATTTGGTGATCTGTGTTGGTTACAGACATGTGGCGCGGGAACAGCAGCAGGCGAGGGAGCAGGGAGGAGGGGGACTGGAGCAGCGGGTCTTCATGTATGGAGGCGGAGCAGCAGGAGAGCAGCAGGGACCACCAGCAGTAGCAGCGTCATGGACGGGGAGACTAGAGACCCGGAATTGCAAAGGTCGCCGCGGCAGAAGCAGATGAACACCTGTGGGTGAGGAAGGAAGAAGTTGTTTACAAAGTTTGAGACTATTCCATCCTCTCTCTCTCTCTCTCTCTCTCTCTCTCTCTCTCTCTCTCTCTCTCTCTCTCTCTCTCTCTCTCTCTCTCTCTCTCTCTCTCTCTCTCACCTTCTTATTGCCCACTAAAGCCTCGGCACAGCGTTGAATGCCATCTGGCGGTGATCTCTGTAAACATTGTCGCTCGGTTGCCAAATCGTGATCTGGAATAGAGAAAACAAATCCAGTATCAGTAAAAAAATAATTTACAATAAAGGTAAAAAAAACGATTCAGAAAGAGATTCACAAACAGAGAATCCTAGTGAGAAGGAGACATGGAGAGCAAAGCTTGTTGAAGTAACAGAAATCAAGTTTTTAACGCAACATACCAAGGAGGAAAGAGAGAGGAGGAGAGGAAACAAACTAGTACGGCAATAGTGCCACTGGACAAATAAAAAAGGGCCGTGACGAGGGGTTCGAACCTACGTCAAATCAAGATGATATCCCGGTTGCAATTCTTTTAACCATGGCGTAGCTCAGTCGATTCATTCAGCGTCTGGGATGCTCTCGGACGTAGGTTTGAACCCTCGACACGGCCCTTGTGGATTTGTTCATTAAATGCATCCCGCTATTGTGATTTCTGTGTGTAATGTGTCACTGGACACCACCAGTAACCACTGTGTACCGGTCTTTGACAATGCGGTTGTTATGAAGAAAGAAAGTAAAGGGAGCGAGTGGAAGACAAACAGTTCAAAAAGGAGAATACTAGATCACGTAACTCCTAGACAAACTACGTGTCAAATAAAACACAAACAAATGACTACACAAGACCGTGTGAACCACATACCAAGCAAATGCAAAGCCGAACAAATGTAAACAAAAAATCGTTAAATTAATAAACCATTTCAATAACCAAGGTAAAGCAAAATTAGAAAATACCTCAAGATATACAGCAAGCCTCGTTCCGGAGTGGAGAGGTTTGGGTTCTAAAGACAGGGCCAGGTCCCCAAATCTACAGTGTAGATTTGGGATCTGGCCCTCTGGTATCTCAAAATGAACAGTTTCCAAAGTTCAACAAGTGAAGCTTGTAAACTCATGCACGTGAAGCTAAGGCTAAATCATGGAACAATATACAAGCAAATGGGTCCTCATAGGATAGAATCAAATGGATGGCAAACACTTATCTAGAAATAGTTGGGACCCGAAAGGCCAGCGACTCAAGAAGTAGTCAAAATAATTAGACATCAGACGACGGACCAAGAAATGATGACATAGGAAGCTGGCAGCTCCTGGTCGAACTGACACATGTCAGTTTTGTTATATTTTGCTGAATCTTACCCCCCACTCAAGGAAAGGAGCACGGGAGAAAGCATCTTACCTGAATCTTAAGATAAACACTTAATCGGATTAAAACAGAAATAATAAGAGAGAGGGAGAGCAGCCACCAGTGGGAATAGATCCCCACCTATTAATCATGGGAGATTTAAACCATGACATGATAGACAAGGAGAACGGTGGAGGCATGGAGGCACAGATACATGAGGACCTAAACTATTGAAAGTGTCAACAAGAAATCTCTTTAAGGCAACATATGAGGGGACCCTCAAGGATTGACAGATAATGATACAAGCACAAGTCTCGGCCTGATATGACAACAGGCCAGAGTCCCTGATGAATAGGTCCTAAACCACAGGCCAGAGTCCCTAACGAGCAGGTCCTAAACTACAGGCCAGAGTCCCTAACGAACAGGACCTAAACTACAGGCCAGAGTCCCTGATGAACAGGACCTAAACTACAGGCCAGAGTCCCTGATGAACAAGACCTAAACTACAGGCCAGAGTCCCTGATGAACAGGACCTAAACTACAGTCCAGAGTCCCTGACGAGCAGGTCCACCTACCTTCGCCATCTTTCTTGCCCTCGATGATCTTGGAGCACCAGCTTGAGGCACAGGGGACGGCCTCGACCCCGGGCACCAGACGCGAGGTGTTGAACCTGGCCGGGTCCTTGCAGTCCCCGAGCTTACCGCGGGACCTGCACGAGTAGCACCGTCGGACCTGACCTGTCGGGGGAGACACACAGAGAAGCAGGTCATGGAGAGAGATAGCTGGCAGGGGTAGAAGAGGCACAAGATACAAGGTAATGCTTTTTCGCTAACTGATGGATGATGATGATGATGATGGTGATGAATATGCTGATGATGATACGGGTTTTTAAGAATTACAAAAAGGGAATTAGATGCTTGAAGTTTGTTTTTCGTTTTAATGGGAATTTTACACAGTTACAGTGGAATATGAACGTGATTATACATCCTTGTAAAGCCACTAGTATAGAACAAATATGATTCCAGAACTCTACCTCTACCGAGCAATCTTGGAATCATCTGTCTATAAGGCTTGGCTCTAGAACTCTGCAGAACTCTACAGAACTCTAGAACTCTTATCTGTTCGTAAGACCTAGTTCCAGAACTCTCTTCTGTCTATCAGACTGGATGAGTAGAAGTGTTGCCAATTTCATGAAACTTAATATTCGTCATGCATGCAATGTCCCAGCTCGTGACATTTCACTACACACGTTCCCTACAATACAAGTGTCTTGCACGTCCCCCCAAAAAAGAATTGGGAAAACCCAGCACTCCTTAAAGCAGCAACACTTGAAACTATCGATGACTTTATAAGTAATTTAGAGACCTCTTTGAGAGTGTGTATACCGATGGCCCGGGTCTGCTCAAAACGTCACTAGGGCGGACTGCAGCAGCCTGCAGACTATACACAGACAACATATGCACATAGACCACAAGTGTGAGACTGAATAACTGGCTTAGTTGACCAGACCACACACTAGAAAGTGCAGGGACGACGACGTTTCGGTCCGTCCTGAACCATTCTCAAGTCGATTTTTTCCTCAAGTCAAAAAATAGACTTAAGAATGGTGACCGAAACGTCGTCTCCCTTCACTTTCTAGTGTGTGGTTTGGTCAACATATTTCAGCCACGTTACTGTGACTCTCCTCGTCTGCAACTGGCTTAGCTCCACATGTACAGAATTAGCTCCACTATAACTTGCCACTAACGCACTGAAAAAACTGTGGAGGAGTTTTTAGAGGAGTTTTTAGGAGGAGTTTTTTCTGTGATATAAAGTCAGCTCTTCAGGCCCTTGAAAACCCAACATGCTAAATAGATAATAAGAATGTTCATACATACATCATATACATCATTAATACACAGAGCAAGAGTTTCAGAGCCTCAGTTCCATGGATACTGTACCATCTCACACAGGTATTGTTCAGCATGATGATGACACAGACAAGGCAGCTAAAAATTGCATGTGATAAGCCTGAAACTGAGATAGTTAGGCATTTCAATCTCTGTTGTATAAACAGCAATATTCCAAGGGCCAGATTCACGAAGCAGTTACGCAAGTACTTACGAACGTGTACATCTTTCCTCAATCTTTGACGGCTTTGGTTACATTTATTAAACAGTTTACAAACATGAAAACTTGCCAATCAACTGTTGTTATTGTTATAAACAGCCTCCTGGTGCTTCGGAGCTCACTAAGAGTTTAATAATTGTAAACAAAGCCGCCAAAGATTGAGAAAAGATGTACAAGTTCGTAAGTGCTTGCGTAACTGTTTCGTGAATCTGGCCCCAAGAAATTTGGGATGGGAGAAGGGCAGTCGCTGAGACTCGAATTGCAGAAGCACGAGTATAGTTATAATATGTATAGATCCGAGAACTATATGTACATCCAAAACATCCATTAGACAGAGTGACATTGTCATTGTCACAGTTAGGCTGGGATATGGACACCTATGGCAGGTGACTGCAGGTAATGAACCCCCCCCCCACCCCCCAATGTTCACGTAATTTGCATTCCAAATGTCCACTATGTGAACAAGAGCTGGGACATACTCTCCATGATTTCAGACCGAATAGAGTGATGTACTTTGAGCTCTGTAACTACTTCATACACTCAGGAATACTGGAAGATATTCTTGGGCTCTATCCAGAGTTTGCTAGTGCAGGTTAATAGGGCAGACTAGCATACTCCCTCCTGATACTATGTATGACTAACTATGCTGTGAGATGGGGGGATATTAGAAGACCATAATTTATTGACTTAGTTGCGTTAGTTTAGGTTAGGTTAAGATAGGTTAGGTTAGGTTAGGTTAGGTTAGGTTAGGTTAGGTTAGGTAGGGTTGGTTAGGTTCGGTCATATATCTACTTTAGTTTTAACTCAAATTTAAACAAATTAACTTGTACATAATGAAATGGACAAATTTATCATTTCATAAGAAAATATTCGTATAGCTAGTTTCTGATCTACACTCTGTAATTCTTCATGCAGAATACGGTAGCAGCACATTGCTTTGTATACCTAAGTTTGTTAATAAAAAAACTAATAACCAATTAATCCATCCTCAATTTGGACATAAACATTTGATTTGACAGGATCAAGTGGAATTCTAGTGTCTCAACTCACACGCTTTCCCGGACTAATGGGCATTGGTTAGTGAGGGTTGTCTATGTATATATTTATGTAAAATACTTCAAAATATGACTAATGTCAAATTACTGAGAACGGATTGAAATAACAGAGTCTACATATCAAATGTCACACTCTTAATTTACTACCCCTATATATACTGTATATATATATATATATATATATATATATATATATATATATATATATATATATATATATATATATATATATATATATACACACACACACTATATATATCCAGTGAGAGTTATCCGGCCCCCCAGGCAGGCAGGAACTAACTGTACAGGAGTGGCCACACATCAAGGACATCCACTCCCGCATGGATACCTTCACCTAATACTTTACCGTTATTCCCATTGACTGAACGGAGAATTTCTGAAGAAATACTGCGATTTGAACACCTATAAGGTCCTAGATGTATATATATATTCCTTCAGGATATTTTATAGGTGCTTCAGTGCTATAGGCTCAAGTATCCTAGTATCCAAGATTCGTTCTGAGATGGTCGTGTATAAGATTATCTCTGGGTGCCCCTTACACTATTCCGAAGTGAATTGACTTTTGAAAGGCCACAAAGCCACTCTTAAAAGCTGAAAACTGACTTAATTTGTTCAAATTTGGTTCTTTTATCCGGAAGTTGGATCACAAGAACAGAGGAGTAGCCTTGTCTTCGCCTCCCTTCACTCTCACATTCATGAATGCCATCAACCCTCATCTGGAGGTAATTGTTTTGTCCACTCTCCGTGTTTAACATTTTCCTAATTCACTTAAAATCTATGATATCAGCGAAAGAATTCAGGGAAATGCTATATATATATATACGTGTGTGTGTTTAAAATCACTTGTAAATGTCTATGCTTGACATTTCGACCATAGTCACTAGTCACTGATAAAAAGAAACTCTTGTCTAACGCTGTACAAACGAGTTTTCGCTTACCTTCAACAACATTAACGAACGCTACAATCACTAGAACACCAAATAAACACTGGTTGACCGTTCTTTGAGCCATGATCGCGGGTGTATTCACTCAGTTACACGAGAAATATGGCTAGGCTTCGAGCGTCAAAAATTTCCACATCGTACTGCAGCTGTTTTCTTGCGTCTTAGTTGATGTCTCCTGAGTGTTGCCGCCACTCACAGCTTTTCTCAGTGAATTTGGTATTATTTTAGTTCTCATTGAGGCAGCAATACCTTTATGTTTAGACTAAAACGAGACATTTGTGCACTTTACTAACGACTAAATAGCCTTCGGACATTACTTTATTTTAATATAGTATTCTAAATATAGATTGCTTATACATTTCGCTATCTTCTAGTTATTAGACTGATTGAAAGTTTAGCTTGGAACGAAACGCTCTGAAAGAGGTCGTTTACAAGCCAAAGAGACGGAGGAGGCGACTAGGGGGTGAAAACATAATATTCATAGAAAACGGGAAACTAGCGTCAAAGGTCAATTACAAAAGAACAAATTAATATTCTTTCCTTTGCGTAGTAATAGCAAAGCTTTTTTATATTGTATCCTAAAATAATTTAATAATTGGTGTTTTTAGCAAAAGATTTAATAATCTTTATTTTATAGGCCAAATTTTGAATTCAACTGAAAGCTTCCTTGACTTACGGTTGTAACTTGTTTAGCTAAACGAACTTGGGGGCTCACTTCCCCTGTCTATTTTGTGATATAAAAGAGAATTAAATAGTAAACTATGTAACTGGCTTATCAAGGTTGTCACTTACCATCTGAACGAGTTTTGGGGTTCATTTTTTGAGTCCATTATGGACCTCTGTAATATTTTCCACAGTTGCTCACTGCATGGGTATGAGGTGAATAATAAATGAACTAAACTAACAACCACTGATGTAGGTCTACTCGTGCATTTCGTCTAAAATCACTGATAACATGTGTTGAATAAAGTTTGTGAAATTAAATTAAATCTTTACAATTACCTATTTGTGGTTTATAGCTTACAGTTCAGTTTTTTTTTAACTTAAGTCCACAGCAGTGCGCTACTATCCAATTCTCTATGGGTATCAAGTGCTAGTTATAAATTCATCTAATATTCCCATCTCATATGATGGTTAGCCATACATGTCATCAAGGACAAGGGAGATACGGGGTAGAAACAGCCTAAGCTACTCTATCCTTTTGAGATGTATTTTATTGTCTCAATAAACGTACTTGAACTTGGCATCAAAGATAACCACGGGATCGCAGTTAAATCAACTATCCTGCACTAACAAACCATGGACATAGTGTCAGAATATCTTCTAATTTCCGCTAGTGGCAGAAATAATTACTAAGCTCAAAGTTATTCATGCCAATTGGTCTAAAATATTCATCAATATATGATGAATATTTTATATGCCACCTTGCAACAGAGATGGAAAGTGGCGCATGATGAGGAGACGCCCAAATTTCAGGAGTCAAATCCTCAACTCAGGAAGGAGGGAGAGGACTGGCGATGACATAGCCCTTAACGAGGTACGGTCCATTTTGGATGGGATCCAGCTGCGTCAGGATAGGTAGGACTGCTGAGCCACATACCTTACTACGAATGTAGTAAAGTATGTGGCCTTTTAGAGGAAGATTTGGAACGCCCGCGATGCACCCCACGCCACACTGGAGAGACTAGAAGATATTCTGCATGATATCTCCGTGTCAGACGTGGACGACACGTACTGTACCCTGTGTGTACCATGTTGTCTGGTAAACCATGACCCAGGATACTCACCACCGTCTGGTTGCCCAACCACTTGGACTGGATGGTAGAGCGACGGTCTTGCTCTACTATCTCTATCTCTATCAACCTCTATCTCAGGTTTCTTCTCTCCTATTTCTTCTCGAGTAATAATGTTAAATCTAATTTGTTTTAACCTCTCCAAATAGCTCTCATATTTAAATTAGGCTGCCCATTTAGTAGCGTTCCTGTGCATTTTTCTAACTTATTTTGAGTTTGAGTGTTGTCTTCATCATATCGCGATGCAGTAATTGACAAATATAGACTAGAATATCGTTAACTGTGGCCAATATCCAAAATTTTGTTACTATCGCATGCACTCAAAAATATTTTATAGCCTTGTGGTTCATCATTATTTCTGGTCTGTAGGATGTTGTAGGACAATAACAACCGCAGGAGGAGGAGGATTTAGGCCGTGACTCCACTTTACTGACCACCAGGAAGTATACTTTAGGACTACTGTATACTCACAGTGTATATACACCTGTCAGTGTGTATATAATACATTCTTTTGCCGGTACAGTTGCTAGCCCTTGCATGGAACCCAGTCGCCTCTATCCAGATATGTGTGACAATTCATACCTTCCTGCAGGGTGAGGATTTTTTTAGGTATACATAGCTAGTATTTAACTTAACATGCTATAAACTTTCATATAGATTATAATAGCAGAACAATACTCTGCCTTCGAGTATGATAATAGCAAAAGTCATTGTGAAAATTGTCTGACGTGTCGCATGGAACAATCCCCTTGGAATAGACAAAATCAATAACATTCATATTTCAAGCCCTTGTGTATTTATATTCAATAACATCAATGTGTGTTTTAAACATTTAATAGACCGATAAGAGCGTGCAGTCATTTGTCCCGGAGGTAAAAATTGTATTTCTTGTGGTAATTCTGGAAGGGTCTAAGTAGAGTGCAGCCGGGATCGGGCTGTGATTGGCTGGGAGAGTGCCGAGCGGACCAATGAGGAGGCGGTGACGGTCGGCGTCTACACCCGCCGCCAGAGGTCGCCACTGCTCTGTAAACACACCATGTGCAGAGAGACGTAAATAATGGTGGGTCGCCTTAACTAACCTCTGTCCCGGCTGCTTTGGGGCGTGTCCTGCTTGTGTATGTGTATATGTATACGTAGATATACCTGTGAGGGGGCGAGGAGCGTCGCTAGTGAGGTGTGAGGAGGTGTTGTTCCCTGGCACCTGTGCTGATGTGGTCTGGAGGGGGGAGGGTGTGTGTGTGTATGTAATTACCTGTGCGGCTTGTTAAGGCTTGATTGTAATAACTATCGGTGCAGCTGAACTAATAGTTAAGTGATGCGGGCTGGCCTCTGCTCGTCACTACCGCCCATTCTACGCTTCTTATAACTGGCATTTAGCCAGGTGTGTGTGGCAGGCGGATGTGTAAGATGGTGTCCATATTTTTACCTTAAATTAACGACGTTGGTTAGACTGTGTTGTTAGTAATTGGTTTGCGTTATATACATAATGATGATGAAGATAATGGTGGTGGCCGTTATGGTGGTAATTGCTGCTGGTGAGAGTCGGGAAGGGTGAAAGTTAGGCTGCATACAAGTATTTACTTGCTGTATATAAGGCTTAGTGTGCAGGTAAATTGTCATGTGATTATTCCCACTTTCAAAGAAATTATTAGATAATTTCTTATTTGACTTCAAAAGTGGAGGAGTAATATGCAACCTCTCTCTCTCTCTCTCTCTCTGCAAGTAAACCTCTAAATATGTGTGTGTATTTTATAAGTAAAATTATTTAAAAATGAAATTATAATTATTAGGATCATAAGCGAGTCTGGTGCTTTCAGGAATTCCTGCTCTTTTGAACAGGAATTGGCCGGCAGCGGCCAATGTTGTCGCTGCCGGCCTCGTGCTGCTAAATAGGGCTACGTAAACACCAAGACCGGTCTACGCTGCAACACTAAAGTTATGCAGGCATTATTATATACAGTATTGCTCATTAGATGTATTTTAATTTTTTGGCATCCCTTATTTATTACTGTCTAAAAAAAATGGATTTTCACTTTAATGTTTTTTTTTATAAAGTTATCATTTATGTTGAAATTCATACTATGCAATTTATTTGTCAATTTGCACATTTGCTCTCCAGAGCCATGTATTGACATGTCTGTACCGTCCATAATCGGATTACTACAAGCTATGTGCAATACATATTGAAATATTCCTTAGAGAATACCCTACACAGTTCCTTATTTTGGTGTAAACATAGTAGAATATAAATTAAATATTAGTTTTTTAATTTGCTTCTCATGAAAATGTAATGGTCTGCAAGAACTCTAACAATTCCTCCCCATATTGGAATTGCGACAACCTGAACATTGAATCCTTTACCTGAAGCTTGTAGATAATGTTTTGGATACAGGCCCATGGAGTACTGAGGTTTCTGGTTTAGTTGCACTGTTTCCAACTTGCTCATTCCAAACCAAAAATACCCATAGTACACTGTAATCTTAAAATCCTGACCCCAATCTTGAACTGTCCAAAATGAACCGACCTGAAGCTATTGCATATAGAATTTTTTAAGTGTAGCCAGATGCTAGGGCCGTGTTGAAAAAGGAACAACTTTACCTGATAGTGGGTACTGCTATTGTTTACAATTCTGTACTGTATTGCCTAATCTTGGCAATGTTTAGGACAATCTCTATTGATGTACCGTCTGACAAAGCTGTTCATGACGACTCAAATTCCATTCGTTCAGTCAAATTCACAACGAGTAAGCAAGTAGAGTAGAACCTAAACCAAAATATAAGTATTACCAGAATTCAATGCATCTTTTTAATGAATGTCGGCATTAAACTTAAAGGTTTTGGCCGATACTGGTATCATAAAACATTCTGCAAGTTTGATTTTTTATTTTGGAGATCACATATACTATTACAGTACTGTGTTGAGTGTATATCGTGACACAGGGTTTAACAAGAAGATTCTTGCATCACAGGATAATGGAGTTGATGCCGTAGCAATATTTTGTGACTAGGTGTACAATTAAGGTTTACCTATTGAAGTTTGCTTGGTTACCTATGGTGACCATATTTCATGATGCATTATATATCAATGGTTCCCATTCGGAGAAGATTAAGTGCCTATATTCTGTACGCCTTCCATAGAAGGCGGGTTAGCAGAATGACTTTATTTCATGACTGGCTAATTGATGTAAAATCTTGCATTGCATTTCTTTGTGTACCTCAGTCTTATTTACTCTATAATCAAGTTTTACAGATAAACTGAATGTTTTATTATTAGTGCTCTTGAAATTAAATTGGCAAGTGTAACTATGAAATGCAGTATTTTGAGTGATATTTAGTTCCTCATACATTGCTCTTTTGAATATTAAATGATATCCTGTTCTGTCCATATAAAATATAAATTATTAATTATATTTTATACAGAGCCATAGAGTAAATGATTACAAAATTTTGAAGGTTTTATGGATTAAGTACAGTTGTGCTTAGGAATTAGTTAAAATTTGCTCATGCAATGGCTCTTTGCTTCACGCAGACATATACTGTACTGGATTTGTCAATTTGTATTGATTTATAGAAGTCACGTAGTGTCATTGAAGCAAATTTGTTTCAAAATTTAAGAAATAAATTGAATACATATGTAAATAGTTATACACTCCCTCTGCTACCTTGCACAAGCCAAGATGCTTACTGCAGTGTTCCTTATGTACTTTCTTGAATACTGTATTTATCTTTCAGGGTAAGAAGGGCAAAAGATTCATTGATAAGCGGCGCGATGTCTTGCACACCTTTAAGGTTGTGCCTCGCAGTCAGCGAGATCCGCTGGCTGCTGATGAGACCGCTCCGCAGGCAGTCCTACAGTCAACTGAAGAGGTAAGGATCTTTAATTGTATATTAATGATCTGCTCATCAATGCTGTTTATTACATGTGAATTGATGTTTCATTCTATAAGCTTTGCTAGATAATATAACCAGCCAAATGTATGAATCTACTAAATAAATTTATTCTGTGCAAGAATGTGGATTAATTTTTATTTTTTAAAGTGGTTTATGTAAAAAAAAAATAAACTTTTATATTTAAGTTGCAGCATTAATTACTGTTGAATAAAACAAATTTATATATTTATCTATTCCTTCAGTAGATGTGGTCTGTATTTTGTTGTACTTTATTACAACAATTATTACTATAAATATATTTTTTGTGTGCTTGCAGAACCCCAAAAAGACAGAACAGGAGAAATACGGAATATTCTTTGATGACGACTACAACTATCTGCAACACTTGAGGGGGGTGCGGGAAGCCGTTAACTGGGATGAAGAGGAGCTCGAGGTGTATACCATCCGCAGAGAAGACCCACAGGTGTGTGTCTTCATGTTCTGTTATTGTAGACAAACTACTTGGCAATTGTAGAAACTTACAAAGACTAGTATGTAACATTTAGTATGATAACATTGGCTGCATGTTATGCAGCATACTATAATTTGCTTTGGCTTATTTGATTCTGCCATGTTATTGAGACTTGCCTGGTATTAACGGTAAAATTAAATAAGCTTTCTAATGCTTAATACGAAAGTGTCTCCATAGTCCAGATTCAAGATTATGACAACCTCAGATGTTCAGCATAGTTTTAAAATTACATTACAGTAAGACCAGGATTTGCACAAGGATGTTCCTAGCAGACCTCTCATAAATCAAACTTCAGGCACAATGGGAAAAATAAAAATATTGCAGACACATTTCAGAGCCACCGCCAAATTTTAAATCAAGACAAGATTTTATTACAGTACTCGCATGGTCCAACCTTGACTTACATTTTGGATGTCACTCTTACCCCACTGGGGAGTTTGAAGTAGCCATAGTGAGCATGCCCATGCATTCTGACCCATGACCAAGAATCCTGGAAATTCATATTCATCAAGAATTGGGGAAAAAAAAATCATCTCTTGGCCCTAAACATTATTTGGAGATAGCACCTAAATACCAGGATCATCTCTGACACTTAAACTGGAAGACTGTGCCACTCTACAAACTGGGCAGCAAAGCAGAAGAAAAAAATATAAGACTGGTAGCATCTCAAATCACGCATCATAAAGTTCTTTCAACGAGTGCCGAGAGGCAAAATAAGTGTTGTCACAATGTCTACATGATGCTAGTCAGCATAAGTTTGAGCAGGATGCTCCTGTCTTTCACAATTATTAGACAACTATGACATAGCCTTGCATACCAAAGATGACAAGAAAAAAAAGCAGATACAATATACACACACTTCGTGAAAACCTTCAATAAATACGACCATGGAGTAATGGCACAAAATGCTCACAGCAGGAATAAATGACAAAGTTGGGAGATTCATCTTGAATTTTCTAATGAACAGATTCCAAAGAGTATTAGTGAACATGGTAAAATCTGGATCATACTTGCAGAATGAGCTGTAAAAAGCTGCTTCTGCAAGTTACTGTGCTTGCTTCAGTACTCATTCTCGGTCTCATGATCAACATAGACCAGGAGACAAACTATTGTACTGTATCTTCCTTTGCAGATGACATTAGGATATTTTTTAATTTTAGTACAAAAAGGATGATGCAGCAAACCAGGGGTATCAAATGTGCCACCTGTGATCACTGCTGCTTCTTCACAATGGGCACCCAATTAAGAGTTAAAAGTACTGCATATATACATTGCCTAATTACTGTTTTTGTCTGATGTGCCCATTGGAAGAGTGGTACTTGCAGGTCCTGTTGCATAGGATGTTTGTGAACGTTGCAAAAAATATTGCCTTTTGAATTCTGATGTCTATATCTTTAAAATATAGGTACAGTAGCTATTTAAATTATATAACATTACAGTATATAGATTTCCAGCTACTAGATCCTTTGCACTGGACATTTTGGGAAGCAAGCTAAACTGTAGTCTTCAATAACAGGGACTTTTTCTGCCAAAACTTCCAGATGGGCAAGAAAGAATTGCGTGGTAAAAAGCTACTGTTGCCGTCCTCAGCATTTGAATCTTTCGTGGAGGAGCCGATAGGACTTCTAAACAAAGCAGCTCCTTTCACAGGTGCGTCTATGATATAGACTGTTTGTTTTGCCTTCTTTATCAATAACTTTGTTTACCATTTTTTTTTTTAATTAATGATACTGTTTGAGTGAAAGCAGTTTGCTAGGATGAAATAAGAACTTTTCGTTTTGTGATAAGTCGAATGTACTTTTTGCACTTTGTAAAATTATTCAGATTCTAATGTGGATGTTTTTGTTGATGCTAAGTTTGAAAGGGCTGTCCTACAATATTTTAGTCATAACATGAATATGGGGAAACATGATAATGGTGGTGATGATTTTTTTCAGATAAAGCCGTACCATTTATAATTAACATTTGCAATTAAATGAGTAGTTTATTTTTAGTACATATATAAAGTGCACCATCTCTAAGCCACGGTTCAGTTAACTAAAATCTAGTTTTAACAACAAATGGAATGTAATTATTGCACAGAATGGCTGCATTTATTGAACTTTTTACCTGTAGCATTCATTATTTGAAGATTTGTTAACATATTGGCAGCCATTAATGGACCTCCTAAAATTCTAAAGTTGATGAAACAAGATTCTAATACCCAAGCAGATATACAGTGCAGATATTATTATTATTATTATTATTATTATTATTATTAAAGGGGTGGGGGTGGCTGGTGTCATTCTTCGTATGTGAAATTTAAACCATGTTGAATAGCATATGAAACTGGATAGAAAGGGAAGGTTCATTGTGCTGCTACATGTTTTCAAGTGTTTGCCTCCACACACGCACACACAGTACTGATTTAAATATAAATTGGCTAAATTATTTTAATTTACAGTTTCAAATAATAACGGATAAATGTGTACAATAATAATAATAATGAAAATGACTAGAAAATGTTTGAAGAGGGAGGGAAAAATGCTGCTTGCATCTTTAGCAACATTGAGAGAGTGGCCAGCATATTATTTTTATTTGTCTTGTAGATGTTTCTTGCCTTTAATGAAGTAGATGTTTTTTTTATTATATCCTTCATGTAGTGTTATTTTCATTATTGGTTGCTAAATTATAATTATTTGGTGGCAAGAGGGGAAGTGATCGCCTACCTAACGACCACTATGTGCCAGCCATTTTTCTGGGATGGACTCTTCCCACCTTCCACCCCATACTCATACAAAACGTCATTTGCACATGTTAGGTCCGCGGCCGGAATTAGACCCAGATGTTGTTGCTGGGTTGGATGACGACTTTTTTGATGAATCTGGAGCGCACAATCCTGATGACGACAACGCTCTTCCGGATAACTTTGTGATGATGCTCAATTCTGAAAATCCTATCCATGAATTTGAGGATGACGACGGAGAATGGGAAGATTGTGAGGATGATGAAATCTGGGGAAATGGTCAGGAAGAAGATGGGGAAATGCCTGCCCTGGAAGATTTAGATAATGGTTTACAATACCTCCCTTCCCTATCAAAGTTGAGGTTAGCAGTTTACCTGTTTGTTATAATAGTACTGTATTTAAAGATAAGTAATGACGGAAGAACGATAAGTTTCCAATTTGGTTTCATGATGGGCTTTAAGTACAGTCCACAGCTCCTAGCATGTATTTCAGTACTTGCCCGTATTTTCCTACTAATATTTCCTATGAATATTTTAAAATATTTGTCTTGAAAATGGAGAGTGGGAGGGGGAGTATGTGCTATTTTCTATCTTGTGTAATGTTCTGTGCCTTGCAGCTTTTGACTGCTTAATTATTCTCAAAAGATTATTTCTTATTTCAGAATGACAGGATTTTTTTTATTATTAATAATAGTGGCTACATTTATTATGGAGTCATAATAAAAAATCATGCAGGGGACATGACTAGCCTCTTAATATTTTGCAAGTTAAATTTTATGATAATAGCAAATGGTGAACTGTCAATAATTCAGATAACATCATTCCTTACCTAATTTGGATTTTTTTTAAATACTATGTTTACAATATCACTGAACTGTGCGTGCATACGGCCATGTCATGCAAACTGTTAAACTTTTGATATCTCTTGTAATAGCACCACAGTTAGATTAATGAAGACCACTGGAGAGAAGTTTGAATAGTAGCAAGTGGTTTCAGCAAAACAAAATCAAAGTAGTTGGAGTGACAGTCTGCCTTGCATATGGAACAGTCTGTCAGAGGGTAATGTTCAGGCACTTTACAGATAATGGTACAAGGTATTAAAGAAATGCATAAAATGATTGGGTTCATTCCCGACTCTCAATCTGGAATTCTGGGATTGAATCCCGAGGAGGGGACATTTTTTGGCACATTTCCTATCGTGTAATGGGCCTGTTCACACCTAGGAGTAAATAAGCACCCCTGAGAGTTTGTTAGCTTGTTGTGAGGTAGCATCCTGGAAAAGGTCAGTAGTTTGACCTTAGGGGATCATAAGTACAAGCCTGTGTGTAATGTGGCTGCCTGGCTCCCAACAGAAGGAATTATTATAATTATTGATTATAATTATCTGAACGTGGTTTGTGTGTGGTATTGGAGCAATAACTGTCCAAGCATCAGGTAGTAACCTTTCAATTAAATTTATACCGTATGACACTAAAAGTGGGTTACCTGGTACTTGAGGGAATAATTTTGGTTAGCTATAAGTACTGTCCTTGTCAAGTTTCTTTGTTTATTGGGAGTCTGTGTGCTTATTAGTCTAGCACATTGATAAAGGAGTGTGTGCTTGCGCTAGTAGGCTGTGGTGTAATTGTTTGGTTGAAACATTTCCTAGAGATATCTTGTATCTTGTTCCAGACCTCTATTGAAGTTTGTTCACCTATACTTGATAGGAATGTGTGTATTTTAGCTTTCTACTGTGTTAAAAATGTAAGCCTTTTAATGTTTTCAAGTTACTTGTTCATGTTCTTTTGTAAATATAGAATTATGGACTGACTTAGGCAGTCATGGGAGTTGTCTTTATGGCTTAATTGCCAACAGAACCATGTTTTGTTATAGTAACTATCACCCAGATCCCTGGAAAAGGCATCTAGATTGTGTATATATATATTTAATAGCTGATCTCATAATTGTTTTATTAGTAATTATTTTTGACCAGACCACACACTAGAAATTGAAGGGACGACGACGTTTCGGTCCGTCCTGGACCATTCTCGTAGTCGATTGTGATGAGGACAGGTAGGGACAGGCATTAAATAGGCAAGAGAGAGCTGAGGAGGAAAGTCAGGTGTAGGGGATAGTAGTAATGAGAACTGCAGCAGGCCTATTGGCCCATACGAGGCAGCTCCTATTATAACCACCGAAGGAGATAGTAATAGGAATAAGAAGAGGATAGCAAGGGAGCGTAGAAGACAATGAACAGAAAAAAGGGAGAAGAGAGAAAGAAAGGGAAAGAGAAAGAAAGAAATGGAAGGGGGAAAGCTTATGTTAAGTCACGTTTGTTAGAAAGATTAGAGCATTTGAGTATATACTGTGAAAGGGAAGAGTCCACAGCAACAAAGCCAGGACTCAAGTTCATGTTGGGTACATTGTTAATAAGAGCTGATTCTACAAGACGGCGTCTGTGTAGAGTAGAGGCAGGAAAGATTGGAGGAAGACCAATCAATGGGATGTAGAATCCCTCACATGGCAGAAGAGAGCATTGTTAGTGTCAGCAGACTTAACACTTCTCTTGTGTTCTTTAAGTCTGTCATTCAGTGTACGGCCAGTTTGTGTCTGGGTTCTCTTTCTCTGTCTACCGTAAACCCATGCATAGTGGCATGTACATTCACTTCTTTTCCTACCATCCTCTTGCTGTTAAGAAAAGTGTCCTCGTCTCTCTCTTCCTCCGCGCTCTACGCATCAGCGACCCTCAGTTTCTTGATTCTGAAATTGCCTTTATCTACAAATCATTCTCTCGCCTTGGTTATCCTTTGCATTTCATCAACTGTGCCTACTCTCAAGCTAAACGAAATTTCTTTCATCCTAAACCTGCTTCCAACACTAGTAGCACTGTACTATGCCTTCTCTTCATATCTGAACTCAAAACTTTTACCAATACCTTTCGTCCTCTTGACATTAAACTCGCCTTTCGACAAACTAACACACTTCGTAGCAATCTAGTTCACACTGCTCCTCCTGCTTCTAATGCTGCTGGTGTCTACTCTATTTCCTGTTCATCTTGTCCTCTCCAATACTTTGGCGAAACTGGCCGTACACTGAATGACAGACTTAAAGAACACAAGAGAAGTGTTAAGTCTGCTGACACTAACAATGCTCTCTTCTGCCATGTGAGGGATTCTAATCATCCCATTGATTGGTCTTCCTCCAAAATAATCTTTCCTGCCTCTACTCTACACAGACGCCGTCTTGTAGAATCGGCTCTTATTAACAATGTACCCAACATGAACTTGAGTCCTGGCTTTGTTGCTGTGGACTCTTCCCTTTCACAGTATATACTCAAATGCTCTAATCTTTCTAACAAACGTGACTTAACATAAGCTTTCCCCCTTCCATTTCTTTCTTTCTCTTTCCCTTTCTTTCTCTCTTCTCCCTTTTTTTTCTGTTCATTGTCTTCTACGCTCCCTTGCTATCCTCTTCTTATTCCTATTACTATCTCCTTCGGTGGTTATAATAGGAGCTGCCTCGTATGGGCCAATAGGCCTGCTGCAGTTCTCATTACTACTATCCCCTACACCTGACTTTCCTCCTCAGCTCTCTCTTGCCTATTTAATGCCTGTCCCTACCTGTCCTCATCACAATCGACTTGAGAATGGTCCAGGACGGACCGAAACGTCGTCGTCCCTTCAATTTCTAGTGTGTGGTCTGGTCAATTAAGCTTAATCTCTTATGTGAGATTAATGATGTATTGTGTGTGTCTGATTTCTTGGGTTCTGTGTTCCCAGGTAATTTTGAAACAAATTTTCATTTCATCATAATTTTTCCTTTTGGTATGTTGGGCTTTTATCTCCTGATCAATATGCTGAATGTTTGGTTCCTACATTCACCAAATACTCAAATGTCAGTCTACAGTATGGTGGAGGATATGATAACTACATACAAGATCTTGAGGGGAATAGACAAAGTGGACAAAGGAAGCCTATTTAGGTTATAGAGGGGTAGGACAAAGGGACACGAGTGGAAGCTGGACATGCAATTGACTTGGTGGAAGGAAGTAGTCGTTCCCTGTACAGGTGGTCAGCAAGTAGACTTCATTGAAAGAGGTGGGTGTTGAAGCCTATTCCATCCACAGCTTAAGAAAAATTTGAAAACATTAATGTTGAGGGAGATGATTGGAGCATAAGGTATAAACAACAAGGAGGTGGGGCATAGAGCTGGATTTTATTTCCCTGTAGTCACGCCCAACCACTTGGGCTGGATGGTCGAGCGACGGTCTCGCTTCATGCAGGTCAGCGTTCAATCCCCCAAACGTCCAAGTGGTTGGGGGACCATTCCTTCCCCAAGTCCCATCCCAAATCCGTATCCTGATCCCTTCCAAGTGCTATATAGTCGTAATGGCTTGGCACTTCCCCTGATAAGTCCCTTTCCTTCCCTCGTAGTCACTGATACTCGGAGTGATTGATCATACCCTAGGGGGTCTTTAGAGTTGACTTCCCTTATGTTGAATTCATTCAAATATTGATATCGGGTCAAAGTTTGGTTGATTCATTACAACTGTCATTCTTTGTGGGGTTAGTAGAGTTTTTAATTTATATTTCTCTTAGTTTCTGTTCATGTGCGTATGTATGCAATCATAAGGTTCCTGTTCTTCCAATTTACCATGCTGGAACCTTGAGATACATACCTACTTGTAATAAGACATCTCTTTCTATAATAGTAATAGCTTCCCTATTATTTGTCACTCTCACCTGGGTATTATGATGTTATTATGTTGTAGTTCTGAGGGGAAATTACATTTGTTAATACTCAAACTTGCACGTAAATGTGGTCTGTGTAAAAACCATTTGTAATATTCATCATACCACAGTTAACCCAGATTTAATAATGGTGCATTTTTACAGTTCCTTCGGGAGTATCAGGATGAACAGGTTGGAGCCTTAGATGGTGAAGACATCGATGGGTTTGTAGGAGAGGAGTCGCCCCTCTTTCAGCAAGTTTTGGAACAGTCGCACAAGCAGCTGCAAGAGGACTCCGAAGATGACCGCACAAGGATTATAAAGTGGATTAAGGACATGCAGGAAAGACGAAGTAATGTCAAGGAGGAGAAGGATGAGGTACGGTAAATTATTTCCAATAAAACTTTGTATGCAGGCATTTAGTTCAAATTTAGCAGATAATGATAGCTTACCTCCTCAACCAGAGAGGAGAAAGGTGGAAAGGGGAATGGCAGCAGCATTTTTTGCTATCAAAACAGGACTGTGACTATTCTTTCATCAGTTTTAAGTTTCTTGCTTCTAGCTCATCCACTTGGTCAAGGATCAAAATTTGTTGCAATTAATGTTCTTATATTAAATAAAAAAAAATTGTGGTTTACACCACAAAAGTTTAACAGGTTTAAAATTAACAGAAGGTTCTATTGTAAGGGCATCATCAGTTGATTTGTGATGGTTCTGTGGTCAATGATCCTTATGATTTAGCCTCACTTAATTGGCTGAAGCATTAGCTAAATGTATTAGCGTGTTGTGTCCAGGAATGATTCAAACAGCGTCACTTCCTTTATTTTCAGCAGTGTAGGTTAGGTGTCTAATTTCCAGATGAATGTCACCTGACTAGTAATGTCACATTGCCTCACTGGCCATAATATTAACATGGAAGCTAGGCTTCAAGCCACAGTGCTAAATAGTCATATGGCTTAGTATTGTATGTTAATAATAACTTGGCCACAGGCCAGGCTGTGGGAGGGGGGAATTATCAGAGGAAAGCACCAAGCCATTATAACTACATAGGACTTGGAAGGGATCAGGACAACCATTTGGGATGGGCCGGGGGAAAGGAATGGTGCCCAACCACTTGAATAGTCGGGGATTGAACGCCGACCTGCATGAAGCAAGACTGTCGCTCTACCGCCCAGCCCAAGTGGTTGGACGTGGCTGTGTGGGGTATTTCCCAGCAGGATTTTATTTATTATTAATTCAAAGTGGACTGTATGTTCTGTGATATCATGTCAAGCATTTCCTGTTCACATAATTTTTGGGGTATGTGTACCTAGCCTATTAATCAAATAATTGATGAGCATAATAGGTTACAATGTTAGTCTGCAGATAAAATGGATTTGTATAATACTATTCATAGCTTATGTATTATGTATAGCCTAGTAATAGGCACTGGACATTTCTCAGTCACGTATGTGAAACTCGTTGGTTTAAGCCCTAATGATAACCGTGAATGCTTCTCGTTGCACTAGGACGACTCATAATTTCTTCTTCCCCTGAGCTGTGCCTGCCGAATAACTTCAAAAGTAGTGAACTGCTACTACAATATGCAGTATATAGCAGATGGAAGGTTTATATATAATTGAAACTAGAGCCTACCCGTCCTGAGTGGTTCTCGGCCATCATAACCGGTAAAAATTTATACATTCACTATAATTAATGGCCATCAATATACATATAATACAATTAAATTTTACCGAGTACAATACTTCCCAAGATTAGCGAGATCTTCGGTTGATCAGAGTCGGTCGTTCCTTTGTCGAAGCTCGTGGAAAGTATTCGAGATCTGCACGTGTCTACTAGAGAGGGTGGCTACTGTGATGTCGTCTGTATGACCACACACACTGCAATGGCGTGGCATTGTGGCAGTACAATACTTCCCAAGATTAGCGAGATCTTCGGTTGATCAGAGTCGGTCGTTCCTTTGTCGAAGCTCGTGGAAAGTATTCGAGATCTGCACGTGTCTACTAGAGAGGGTGGCTTCTGTGATGTCGTCTGTATGACCACACACACTGCAATGGCGTGGCATCCCCTGCCCAACTTTATCATTTTTTAAATGACAAGTTTGGTAGAGGCAATTGAACATTGACACTGCTACGAAATGGGTGCTGTACTGTGACACATTTATCAAATATTTTGCTACAAAATCGGATTTGTGCATATGTACCAGCTAGTCTGGGAAGATGGTTGGGAAGGTCTACCCTCTATATTGATAGAGGGTAGACTAGTATTGGCATAATTGGCATTCACAATTGTTAGAACAATAAATATTTACAGTATTGTGTTCAAAATGGGTCTTTTGAGATAAATATCTACTAAAGTTCCTTTTGCATGAGCTTTTCCTCACAATTGTTCGTGAACCTAATGTGCTAAATAGGATATGATCAAAGCCTTAGTGTGTTCAAGTACATATACAATTTGATTGTAAAGATGCTTAGAAATTTCTTGGGCTCTAAATTCTAAAATTGTTTAAGATAGCAGGATTATGATGAAAATGTGCTACTTTTTGTTTTCAGGTTGAGATTTCAGATGACGAACCTAGAGAGAGGTGGGACTGTGAATCGATTCTGACAACTAATTCTACCCTTTACAATCATCCACGCACTATTACTGATCCTCCACGTCGCAAGAAAATTGCTGTTGATCCACGAACAGGGATTCCAATAGAGCATGGACTTGGAGGTTTGACTAGAAGGAATCTAGCTCATCATGATAAAGTTGCTGGAGCATCAGGTATATACTATATAAATATATACGTGTATGTACTATACATTCATTTTTAGCGTGGCATGCAGTAATTTTTTATCCTTATTAAAGTGAAGGATTAATGTGTTCCATGATGTATTGAAATCAATCTTGACACCAGTAGCAGTATGAAGTAAGGGTTTCAAGTTATATCTAGATATAATCTCTACATTTTTTGAGTTAGTTTCAGAACCAAGTGGCTCTAACTGGTTGCTGCAATATTTCTGGGCTATCTTAATGTATTTCAGTATGTAGTGATGCCCAGCGCCCTTCACCACAACATCCCATACTCTTCACCCACTCCCAAAACCTACTCGTGCTACCAGAACCCCCATCTCTTCCAAACCACTCTCCCGCATCCCTGACCAGCCCTTGTTCCAACCATTGTCCCTCTTCCACAGCTCTTCCAGCCTCTCACCACTCCAGGTCTCCACGCAACCTATTGCTAATTAATCTCTACACCAGCTCTCACCTTCCATACTTTGTACTCTTGGACCTCTTTGTTTGGGGTCCAGCAGCAGCAGCACAAAATGAGTTTAATTTGCCAATAATGTTAGCCCCAAACAGTCTACTTCTCCCACCCAGCTCACCAGTAGTGTGCCATCAGTTTCCACTAATTTATTAAAGTATTTACAAGAAAGTTCAAAGGTTAATTATATTATTGTTTAGCACTTATTAATTGTTAATAAGTTTAATAATATGATCGAAGATCATATTATTAAACCAGTCGAGACTGGTTTATTAAACCAGTCGAGACTGGTTTATTAAACCAGTCGAGACTGTCAGTGGACCCATTTTCAAGCCATTTAAAAAATAAAAGGTCTAAATCAATTTCATGCTGCATTCCTCCTGTTTATGAATGAAATGAACTTTTCACACGTCTCTCAATTTATGATGATAGTTTTCTTGTGCTGAAATGCCTTCTATTTCAAAATGAACTTCTGACTAATTCACACTTTTGAAATTGTAATTACGAAGATATAGGGTTAAATATGAAAACATTGTCATATTTTGAACTCGAGTTGATATTTTTATCATGTTATAGGCTGTAATCAATCATTTCAGTATTTGCATTAATTATATTTACATATCATTGCCCAATTTCCTTCTTTCATGGAGTGGAAGGCACATCCTGTGGAAGGCCTGGAAAAAAACTAATTTATACAAAAGTGAAAGGTAGATTGATTAAAAAAAATTCTCCCCTTTATACAGTATTGCATTATGGTATTTATTTTTCAGACGATGCACAACCCGACACTCAGACGCTGATCACAAGCATGTCGGCTATCTCCATTCGGCCTCCTGGAGAGTCCTCGGAAGAACGAAGGTTTAGGAAGAAAGCTTTAAAAGAGCTTCGAAGGGTAAGGCAACGGCAAGTGGTGATTGTTAATTAAACATTCTTCAGCTAATATGGTTTTCTGTTTTTTCTCCTCTCTCTCTTCCAGAGCTACCGTTCCATTGACACAATGTGTCATCGATTTGTGAAATTATTAACAAGTAAGGTGTGCTATGGCTACGTTGTGTTTATATGGCATGCCAAACAAGTAAGGCAAAACTTGGCATTCTGTATTCTGGGTTTACGTAATAGTGCCCTGCACGACTGATAATGAGCATCGTTATGTTCAGGGATGTGTGTGAAATATTGATTTTTCTGCTATGAAAAAAAAAAATACAATGCTGGATTTAGGCTTGTTCTTACCAAAATTTGTGTATACAACATTCAGTGTTCATACATAAAATTGTGTATTATATCTATATAATACACACACTTATTATTACTGCCTTTAGTACAGCATAATTTTTATTTCCAATATTAACCCTTTTAAGTGTGGCTATTATTCACGATGCCATTCTGCATGTTTACAACAACAATAAAAATTTATACATATCCATGCCTAAAGTTAAGGAGGTAGGTAAGGGAGGAGTCAAAGGGATTCATAGTGATGCACGTTTGTTGAACCGCCATGTAAGGAAGAGGTCTGTCATGATCAAGTTAGGTGTGTGTGTGTGTAGTTTTACAATGTTGTAAAAAAAAATTTTTTTTTTTGTGTGTGTGTGTGTGTGTGTGTGTATAGTTCAGTTTTGCTTGCTCGCCCCAACACTTTCACCAATTTTATTCTAATTGCCCCAGAATGAAAAGCCGTCGTATCCGGGTAGGTGGTGCCCGGAAAGCATGGAGCCTTCTCTATATGCAAGTTTGTAATGGGTAGGAATTAGATTCTGGAGCATGTTTTAGGCATCACATATTTAAAATATAGGGCACTTAACACACAACCATATGCATACAGATTTTCTGTTTCCCTTGGTGCCCTCTCTATTTAGTCTTTAAGTACCAAGTATATTTTAAAGATAATAATTACATATATTGTTAGAAAAACTTAAATATTCAGAGGAATTAGCTAGCAAATGAAGTGGGGTCAATTTCTTTGCAGGAAAGACGTGTGGAAAAGAAATTGAATAGAGCAGCATTCAAGGACGAGAGGCGACGGCAGGAAAAGATCCTTATCAATAATAAATATAATAATAAAATATCTTTGGTGTAAGTGCTATTCTTGCATCTTGAATTTTCCTTTCTCTCTCTCTCTCTCCTTATTTTTTACAAAGGCTTTCAACCATTTTTATGCTAATCAGATGTTATTATATTTGTTGCTCTTTATATTGCAATTTATTACTTAGGTGCGAAATCTGCCATGTTTCAGAGAAATATTATGGAAATAGTGTCCAGTGTGAGTGTGTTTGAGAAAGGAACTAGCAATTCAAAAGTTCTAATTACCTTCTGGCCAATTGGAGGGCTTCAGCTAGTACATTTTATAATGCCTGCAGTAGCCCAATGATGGGTCAGTACATAATGTATCCAACAGACTTAATATTCCAATTACTAATCAAATGCTTTTTGAGCCACAGTTACTCACAAGAGCATTGTTCAGCTTTTAAGTATACAGTATATATATATATATATATATACACATATATATATGAATTTTAGCATGTTTCATTCTCTTCACAACCAAATTCTTTGATATATTCTGTTTTGCATACAGTGTGTGTTTAACCAGCCGTGTTTAATATTTAATTATGTAACTTCAATTTCATTTTCTTAATCTCAACATTTATCTGTAGAACTGCACACCATATACCGTCTCAAATATTTGTCTGTGTTATACCAATATACCAAATATTATGAATATTAAACTTTATCTTTCATTTTCCTCACTAGTATATTGCCGCTTGGTTTGCAGGCAATAGGGAAACACTGACTAATAATAAAATTTTGTCAGAAATGGGTTTTGTGAAATAATAATAAAAACATGTTGGACTAATTTATAAGCATCTGCAAATTGTTTACTGTCTAGCTAGAGAAAATATTTGTAAATAGTATAGACAAAGTTGTGATGTGTCTAGGTTTGAGAACTCGGCCTGCTAATAGGAGACGGAAGTCGTTTTTTTCCTGTACTAGCAGGTAAAAAAAAAAAAAAAAAAAAAAAAAAAAAAAAAAAAAAAAAAAACTGCATGGCTACCAGTTTCTGGTGGTTATTGGTACACGCCTAATATGGCAAGCTCATTTTTCATTCGATCTTAATTGTTAAGTCTGTAAAATGAATATGGAATTACTTCAACACAGCATAAATTCTCATTAAAGCATTTTTGGTTTGTCATTGATGTGATGAAGTCATCATGGGCAATTGTTTAATTGCCTAGATTTCTCTTCAAATTCATCATCTCTGTATCTGCTTTTCATTTCAATTTTGCCTTTAGCTTTCTGGGTGTTTATCCACGACAGTTTATCCTTGGTGAATTTTTATGCATTTAACTAATAACACATCACTTGGATTTTTTTTCTTTGAATCCATCTTCGTTTAGACCCTATACATTTTCTCGAGTACAGTACTTTGTTACCAACAGTTTGATGGTTATTTGCTACCAACAGTTGCCAAACTACTGGGTACCTATTTAGTGCTAGGTGAAAGGAAATATACCCAACCATTCCTGTCCCACCCAGGAATCAAACGGGCAAGCCCCGATTGTGAGTCGAGAATGAAGCCAACTGTAGGACTGACCCATAATTCAAAGGCAGTGTGCAAGTCAATAGGGTCACCAGCCATGATTTTCAAGTTCTCTACTACAAAAAACTTCTGCTGTCTTTTTATTAAAAATTCACTTAATTTCACTTAATTTCTGTGTTCTCTGTTAACCCCAATGTACCTTCTTGTATATAAATAAAATAAAATATACATACAGTATATATATATTTATATATATAATATATGGAAATGTACGTTTGTTCATAATCGTTAATCTCTGAAAGTTCTTCACCGATTGCTTTGAAATTTTCACACATCGTTCCATTCGCATCTGAGCGGGTTTTTATATACATACTATATAGATGTCATGCCTGTGACGGGAAAAAAACATGATTTGTTAAAAAACTGTGTTTTTCATGTGAAGGAAATCTATGAAACCTCATTACCGATTGCTTTGAAATTTTAACACAACGTTGCATTCGAATATGCATATGTTTTTATATACTTACTACATAAATGCCTCACCTGTGACAGGTAAAAACATGCTTTTTTTTTTTAAAGCATGCCATCTGTTGCACGTAATAGCAACACACGCTATCCTAAATATGTTACGATTCCATTTCAGTGTTTCTGATTGCATTGATAAATTAAATTTTCATAGATTGATTTAATTATTTTGTGTGACATTGCGTTGGAATTGAGCTGTGTTGTTTACTGTAGTGTTCATTTCGTGAGGATAGTTGTTTTTTTTTTTTTTTTTTTTTTTTTTTTTTTTTTTTTTTTTTTTAACTATTTTTTTTTTAACTGGTTTTTCTTATATTTATTTCTGTGATGGGAACATCAGATCATTTGGGAATGCATCGGACAAGGGAGTGGGGAGGACAAGAGGGTAATTGTTGGAAGGACTAGGGGGAGGGGGAGCCCTTTTGTTTTTCCAGGAATATTCCTGCACGGGCCCTAAGCCTCTGGCTGGCCCGCTAAGTGTTGCTTGTTTCTGTTTTACTTGGCCGGAGTATGAGTATTTGACTCGTATGGTCGCTTCAGTAAGATTGTGTCCCCGTGTTTAACAACAACTACTGCTCTGTTGAATCAAAGTTGAAATTTTAATGGGTTTGTAACTCAGCACTGTGTTAGATAATGTTCGTGGTCTGTCGGGCATTTCTCCACAGTACTGACATTTCCTCTCATCTTCCAGAACCTGTAAGCCTATTTCCCATGCACATGGGTATCCAAGCCTGATGTGATGTAAATGTTCTTCTGTTCTACTGCTCCCTTTCATCAAACTAAGTGGTTCGTAGTTGGTTGAATTCTTGTACCAACTCGCAGATCCTGATGTTGCAACTACTGTGTTGTGGTCACTGTACGTCTTTTGCATTGCTCTGTTTCTAATTACTTTCTTAATCTGTGATAGACTGGTGCGTAAATGTTTACACTTCTCTTAGTTGCAAGTTTTGCAGCTTCGTCTGCAATGTCATTTCCTATTATTCCCACATGACTTGGCACCCAGTTGATAAGTACCCGTCGACCTTGTCGTTTGATTGTTTGTAGTAATGATGTGACATTTGTGATCAGATGAATGTTATCACGTGTGTTTTTGTTGCAAGGTTGCAATGGCAGTTCTCGAATCTGTATGTATGATAACATGTTGTCGGTGTTCAGCAAGAGCATGTTCCAAAGCCTTTTGAATGGCTAGCATCTCTGTAAAGTCGAACACCCATTTGAGTGTCTCCAACTATTTACAGTTTCCTGCTTTAACTGCAGCTCCAGTTTCTTGTCCCTGCTGGTCTACTGATCCATCTGTGAAGTAAGTGAAGCTGTCGGATGTCAAGTTTGCTTCTATATGCATCTGTGCAATATTACGTAGTAGATAAGGATTTGTCTGGTTCTCTTTTTCCTTCAAGAACCATAATCTTAGTCTGCTGGCGGAGGTTCCCAAGGGGCTTGCATAACAAAGTCTGCATATATTTCGTCGAGACCCCTCTCAGTGATTGTATTTGTCGAATGTATTTGTGTTTATCGCACAATGGGTCCACCTGTTGCTATTGGAGGCTCTTCTGTAAGTGTGGGAGATGATGGGATGGTGGTGTGGGGGAATGGTTAGGAAGACGAGGGGATGGGGAAGGGGGAACTGGTGGGGAGGACTGGGAGACGGGGGAAGGTTGCTGTGGCTCAGCAACGCATGTTGTCTTCTACCACCACTTTATATCTGTTTATTTTATTTTAAATAAATATATAATATGTAATGTTATATGTTTAAAATATATGAAAATTAGATGCATTTATATATAATAATAATAATTATTATTATTGTTATTATATACACACATATTCGCCCTTGGCTAGGGGGACTTCAATCGATAAGTCTATCAAGAGGCTTCCTGTCCATGATAACAACACACACTAACTTTCTCACACGCACAAGCGCGCGCGCGCACACGGGAGGTGGAGCACCAGGAGGCAGGAGTCTCGCTGCAGCAAGCTCAAGAAAAAATCCAACTGCCTAAGTATTGGGAGCAGGGTGAGAGCTGTAAGCGGTGTCCCAGAATACATGAAGGTTTACGGAAGTTTAAAAAGTAACTAAGTAACAAGAAATAAGTGTAAGTGGGTGAAAAATCTGGGTTAAACAAGTTGATATTCCAAAACAGAAGAATAACAACAACAAAGATGGCCGCCACCTCAGGAGAGGACAACATACCAACAGATGAATGTTTCAAAGGATTCTCAGCACAAGATATAATGAAAGGAGGTTTCTTGACAGGTTAGTGATTATTGAGGACCTGCTAAAGAATTATGAAGAAAAGGTAATTAAATTAGAGCAAGAAAATGAAGGTCTCAAGATTGAGTTTTGTAATTTAAAATGAAGTATTTTCCAGCTAGGTAAGGAAATTACCAGCTTGATTGATAAGATAAGGATACGGGAGGCACACATTAAGGAGCTAGAAAGATAATGAGGCATGGAAAGTGAAGAGTGGTGAATTTGATGAAATTAACAAGAAAATAGACTCGAATGGTGAACAACTCTAAGGGACCTTGAGGGCTAACATAGAACCCTTAGATAGTCTCTTGGCAATGATATGCAAAGAGAAACTTCATGAACAACTCGCATAGAGGAGTTTAATAAAAAACTACAAAAGTACAAAGAGGCAATAAAAGAGACAAGAGCAAGTTGTAAAAGAGAGAGAGACGGTCAAGGAAGAGTGTTTGGAAGTCAAAACCAGAAATGACCAACAAAAAAGCAGAAATTAGGCAAGCAATTAGGAAAGAACTGGTTACCAACAAATTAGTACAACACACTGTAGATAGAAGTAGGAAGTCCATAATAATTCTCGGGTGTTTAGAAAAGGAAAAATTATCCAGGTTGGACAGCAGCGGAAGAGATGAAAATCATGAGAGAGAATTGTAGGTTTAGAAGAACGCCTTAATTCAAAGGAGAATGTCAGTGATTTTAGGATAGGCAAATATGAAAGACAAAAACCGTCCCTTAAGGGTGACATTTAATGGAGTGAAACACATGACGAACGAGCTTAGAAATGCCAGGGAATTGCAGTGTAATGAGGATGGTAAACTTTGGTGAATAAGACAAGACCTCAGAGACAGAGAAAAGCTAAAAATGAACCTTGACAAAGCGAAACGTCTAAATGGGAATATAAATTAAGAAGAAAGATTTTTTTTGTTTATAAAGTGTTAGGGACAAGACAGCTAGTGAAATGGAACAAAAAACAATGCTACAAAATTATTAGAAGAAGGGGAAGTAAAGGACAAAGGGAAAGGGAACATGTTCTTGAAAATTGTATATACCAACATATATGAAGTGAGATAAAAAAAAAATATTGGAGTTGAACGATATAATTTAGCTTAAGGTCCCAGACACTGTCGCACAGAGATGAAACTTGAAGAAAATATTTTAAATGAGGTCGTATTCCCAAGGGGCTACACAGTTTGAAGATGTGACAGAGAAAACTAGGAAGGAGGGGGGGGGGAGGAGAGGCGGTGCTGGTGAAAGAACATTTGAAGGTAAGAAAGTTAATTTTCAAAAACCCTCGAGATGTTGACATATTGTCATTACAGGACTGAAATCAGGATGATAAATTTATAATTGTAAATGTCTACAGTCCACAAGCAAGCAGCACATGAAAGGAGGAACTAGACGACAAACTAGAGGGCTTCATA